GCACGCACACGTGCCTGGCGTGAGTTTAAGCCACCAGGTCCAGGACTCGAACCACGGTCGACTACGTGGGAGTCCAGTGACATAGCCATTATGCTAACTGCTGGTCCCTGTTCATGTTTTTCTAAGGAACGGACAATTTACCAGTTAAAGAGAATATGTATGTTCTGTTTATATTTTGTGCTGGTTTGACATTTGCTTTAAATTATAATTAAAAAATAAAGTGGAGAGTTGAGATCAAATTTCCAATCCCAATACTCTTCATGCATTAGAAAGTGGTATAAAATATTAATAAAAGGAAACTCCCACCCCAGTCTTTGAAGTTTCTTTCTCAATCAGTACAGCAGCACCGAACTGCTCAAGAGGTAGTGGCCGCTGGCTGGAGGACCACTTGAAAAATGAACCAGAGGCCACATCCAGTGCAGCCTAATCCTGTCTGTCACATCCATCAATTGCCCAAAAAGAGAATGGAAGGAAAGAAACACAGACATTGTGTGTGGGTTATTCAAAATGCACTTTTTATTCACTTGAACACAGTTTTTTTTTTCTTTTTTTTTTTCTTTTTTACAGTTGAAAGAAAGATCTGATACACAATTCTGAGATTTTTAGCAGCACCTGCAACAATAGGATTGTGGAATACCTCAGGATAAAGTAGAGACGGCTGAGGCAGGCACAAATTAACCTGAAATTCATCAATCCACTGAAGACATATGGAATCTGAGGCCCCCTGAAAGCCGATACACACAATAAACAAAAGAGATATTCTGTATAATATTCTAATGGACCATTGAAAAACAGTATAGTTATAATTAGAAATATATTATTCCAAAATCTAGTGTGCATTAAAAAAAAAACACCTATTGAAAATATTGCACTACACATTCTAGAGTACAGAGTCAATTTCTAAACCTATATGCACAGTTCCTGGTACTCACAGATTACAGCCTTTGGTGTTTTTAAATCTTACGCATACTATATGTCAGCACCTCACTGAGTGCTACTCACCAAAATGGCACTGTTTTGTCAATGTTAAGCGCTTTCATTAAGATATTATATAGTAATTTGGCAGAGAACAAATTGGTATGGCTAAGCAGAAAGGGGCTTCAGCTGACCTGCCCATAAAATTAACACTTGTCTTGGATGGACAGGATGCCTATGAATCAGATACCCATGTAATTGGTTTTACTCAAATGACCACATGCCACTCTAGTAGAGACAAGTACTTTTGTGAGTTGATGGAAGTCTGTATGAAGGCCTGAGATCTACAAATAGAAACTAGTATAAGCAGAGTGCAAGTAGAAAGAGAAGGCCCCAGGTCTCATGCACTTAAAAATAAATAATTGGCATTTAACAGTTCCAACGTACAGATTTTCACCCTAACATAATTGTAGCAAAATGATCATACAACTTGGAAACCAGTGTGGCTGGCTATAGGCATAGGCAGGGTAGGGACCAATACTTAAGAACTGTGGGGATCCCAGTTTTGGCTTTGATTTCTGGCATCAAAGTTAATTGGACAATGGGGTCAGGACTATTTCATAGAATATTAGAAATATTGAGTGTGACTGAGTTGAATTACTGTCCTCCTCTTGTCTATGTGGCCAAAAAGTCCCAGAGCTCTTAAAGCACAAAAGGTCCCATATGTAAGGCGAATTCCATATGTGGCTACAATGGAGAGTTCTAGGCTGTATTCCTGTGAAAGCTCCCACCTCTCCGGGGCCTAAGTCTCTTTTGGGGCTCATTTCCAACTGTCCCTCATTACCTTGAGTCACTACTTGTATCCTAGGTGTTTTAAAGAACAGATTCAACACTGTGCAGGACAAACATATCAACCAACAAGAACTAGACTGCATACTCATAGTATAGTAAATAAGTGGCAGTCACGGTAATCAAAAATTGTCAAACCATTTTTGTATTTCAACACGGTATCAATGGATGTTTATATCAGGGTACACAAGATTACTCAGAGCTTCAAATTTGTTCCTTTCACAGTGCAAAAGTAAAAGAGCTATGTAGTTGCTACTAAAGGTTGATTAAAAAAAATGGTTTGGGAATTTTTAGTCCCTCCCCATAGTCTTACCTGTTATCTTCAGATAAATCTAACCATAACATGGCTCTGATGTCATTTATAGATTCATTGAGCTTGGAGCTAGAAGGGACTTTATACTAAACATATAGCCAGTGCAGTAATTCATTTTTATGTTATTTTTACAGATGGTCATCCAGCAAATATTTTCACTGGGAGGGAGCTCACTATTAAGGCAGTATTCCACTGTTGGACAACTCTAATTATGAGAAATTCATTCTAACACAGGTTCGAATCTGCGCTCTGGTCACTTTCAAAGTCCTGGTTTGGCTGGCTGAATGTACAGTGCAACATATAAGAAATCAGTTCCTTCTTCTGCAATAAATACTTGAGTTAAGAAACCTTGTGAGAAAAGCCCATTATCCCCCAATCTTTTCTGAAGCCTGCTCTGAGCCCAGCGGGGTGGACCAAAGGACCATTTAGATTATGAGCAGACAGCACTGCACCCAAAGCCATATACTAAGCGGCACTGCTAAATTGGTAAGAGGTTGTCAGAGAAGCAACATCTCTATGCAGCAAAAGTAGACTTATGATGTAAAAGCAGCCCAACCATTTATTTGCAAGGGGGTTGGCATATTTAAGCATAATCCATTCACTAGTGTCCTGTGACTTCAAACACAAGAAGTATAATCCATTTCCAGTGTCATTAGAGTATCTCTCATTGAGGCGGTATTTTGTGAAAAGCTCAGATGGGAGCAAACCATACATAAAAATTTAAACAAGTCGGTGTACATAATTATACTTTTGTACTTCTAATCATCACAACCCCTTTATAATTCAAGCTTAGGAATCCTTGTTTGCGTTATTATTTTCATTATAATATAGTTCAGGGTCTGTTTTTCCCCCTTTGGCAGAAATGACAGGAACCACTTGGCAAGAGTCTGATGGTGACATTTGCTAGTTGATCGATGGAACGCTTTAAGAAATGACTGCAGCTCTTTAACTCCTTCATGCGGCTGGGTTCTAGGTTTAAACTGTGATTTTAAATATTGAAATTTCTCAGGACTGAAAATCTGTGACATGTCCTGAGACACACAAGAAGGGGAAATAGCAGAAATCACGCAAAATACACTTGGCTTGATAAAGCTTTTTTTTTTTTTTTTTTAAATTGCTCTATGGTATCATTTTGAAAGGCTCTGTTTCACAATCAGAACCTTGTCACTTGCCCTCTTGTGCGTGTGTGCACTCTTAGAGGGGCACGGTTACTCTTACACTACTAACTGACCAATGTGGGGCACACTTTCAAAAGGCTTCCTGCATTTAACAGCATGAAGATCCTGCTTTGGATCCGCTGTTCAAGTCAATGGTGTGACCTAACATGCAATGCTCCAGCTGTTCCTCTACAGCTAATACCTGCCTGACAGCTTCTTCAAAGGCCACTGTCACATTAGTATCATCTTTGGCACTCGTTTCTAAATAAGGGTAGTCCCCATTCTCCATGCACCAGGCTTGTGCCTCCTCAGTAGTCACTTGCCTATCCTCCTTGTCTACCTTGTTACCCAGAACTACGAAGGGGAAGTGCTCAGGGTCCTTCACATCTGCATAGTAGATGAATTCTTTCTGCCAGTTACCAAGGTTCTCGAAGCTCTGTCGGTCATCCACACTGAAGGTCAAGAGGCAGCAGTCTGCACCCCTGTAGAAGGGTGTCCTAAGGCTCTTGAAACGTTCCTGCCCTGCAGTGTCCCAGATCTGGAGAGTTACAAAGCGCCCATCTACCTCCAGATCTCGATTTAGGAATTCTACCCCTATGGTGTGAAAAGCCTGGGAGTCAAATTTATTGGTTACATAACGGTTCATAAGCGAACTTTTCCCAACTCCGCCATCACCCAAGAGAATGACCTTTAAGAGCAGGGATTTCCCACTCATTGTGGCAGCACCAGACAGGGATGAGTTTGTAACAAACTGAACCTGAAAAATAAAAGAAAAAGTAGGCGAAGAAACAGTTAAACCTGTAGCTAAAATCAACTTCATAGCTAATTTCGGAGAATGTTAAAGCCTTCTAATTTACTTTCTCTTGATTCAAGTTCATTAATTCATATAGTATAGCAGAAGGAATAAAACTCTTTTTGCATACGGGGGAAAATAGGTCTAATTTTTCTGAGGTTTCTTGCCTGTGCCAGGAAAATGGCTGAGTGCCATGGGTAAATGGATGAGCAGATGGTCCTATTCTGAGGGAGAGGGCCTAGAACAGGAATACCACCCAAATATGTGACCATATTGGCTTACCTTTTGGACAATTCCAAATAAAAGGAATGTAATGTGAAATTCATTTGGGATTTGACATTTACTCTCAATGGACCCAAGAACTATTGAGGAGAGAAAATTGCATAAGCTGGATTCCTGATTCTGTAGGAGTGATCTGGGCCAGAATTAGACTGGACCCCAGAATGTGAAAAAGAGAAAAAGGTCAAGTTTCTCAGGTCTTTACCCCACTATACTTGCATTGAGATGGATACCGTCCTAAACAAGGGATTGTTCATAATCTTTTCTTCATGGAACCATGACACTTCAGTTAGCTGATACCAATATAACAGCTATCATTTTGGAAGAAAACATCAAATAGCTTATTAATTTTTGGATTTAGGTTCTATTTCTATAATAGCAATATACAAAAACACGCTATAAAACTAAAGTTCTATTAATTATATAGTATCCCCTCTTCTTTTGCCTTAGAAGCATGTACTTGCTGGGAAGAGAGAGAGAGAGAGAGAGAAAGAGAGAGAGAGAGAGAGAGAGAGAAACAGTGAGAGGGAAAGTGAGAAATCATTCCCTGGGGGGATGGCCCACACTACAATCCCTTCTCCTCCATTCTTCTCCCGGGATCTTGGCCACACATGCACACACACCCAGTGTGATTTTCAAGCCACTGGGTCTGGGACTGGAACCGCAGTCAGCCATGTGGGAGTCTAGCAACACAACTGTTAGGCCATCTGCTGGCCCCAGGATCCTTCTTTATAATCCTATCACGTGTCTACATATGGAATGCCTAGGATGCATCTTCGAATAAAAAGATCAAATGTCTACTGAACAACTACCTCTTGCTATATTTCGTTAAGTATTTTCACATCAGGTCAATTGTGGAAACTCAACAATGATGACATTAATTGGGTTATATTTATGCAAGAGACTCACAGGGATGAAAAGTAATCAATAATCAAAAGAAGCACATGCAAAAGGGCTCTGGAAGCACATGCACTTGAAATGCAATTTAAAAATTTAATCGTCCTTAAAATGAGTTTAGAATGCATTTACCCTAACTATATATTTTTCTAAAAATTAATTTTTTTCTTGTTTGCTTGTTTTCTTTTCTCCTTTCACACTTTTTCAGGTTTTTGCCATAGGGCACAAGTGCTTGCTGAAGAGACAGAGAAAAACAGTGAGAGGGTAAGTGAGAAATCATTCCTTGGGGATATGGCCATGCCACAACCTCTTCTACTTCATTCTCCTCCTGGGATTTTGGGCACACACACCCCAGGCATGATTTTTTTTTTAGAGGGTTTTGCTATAGGGTGTGTGTGCTTGCCAGAAAGCCAGAGAGAGACATAGAGACAGAAAGCAAGAACCCCCCCCCCCCCGGGGGGGGGCCCCACCACAAATCCCCAATCCCTTCTCCTCCATTCTCAGGATCTTGGGCAAGCATGGACACGTGCCCGGCGTGAGTTTAAGCCACCAGGTCTGGTACTCAAACCATGGTCGACTACATGGGAGTCCAGCAACATAGCCATTACACCAACTGCTGGTCCCGAACAGGCATGAGTTTCAAGCTGCCAGGTCCAGGACTCGAACTGCTGTCAGTTATGTTGGAGTTCAGTGCCTTCACCACCATGCCACCTGCTGGTCCTCTAAATATTAATTTTAAGAGATCAATTTTTAAAATATCTAAAATTCATAATGTACCTCCATGAAATACCTACCTAGCTGCGTTTCTGTCACGATTTTAATCTTTTTCTTTTTTTCTTGTTGTTTTATTCTTTTTAAGATTCTAAAAAAACAGAATGAAAACATTATTTTAAAAAGTCTATAATAAAATAAAGTTAAGGTTATATATAAAAAGATATTCAAGTCAGAAAAACTTTTAAAAACCAGACAACATCAAGTAACCTACAGAGAATGCTTTCCACAAATATACTTAAGAGTTCAAAATGCTACAAATGCTTGACATGAGCAAAATAATTTTATTGCAAGAACTTTAACTTGTTCTAATTTAAGTGTACTGTAAGTGATTTTTTTAAGTTTATATTGTCTCTCCATTGAATTCTCTATTCCAAAGAAAAGTAAATAAAAGAAAATAGATGATATTCATAATAGATGATATCCAGGAAAGGGGAAGCACAGAGGAATCTAAGATATACTAAAATACTAAGTCTGAGATGAATCTCATTCCCTATCTACCAACATTCCCATCTCCAAGAAAGCTATTGTGCACTCACCAATCTGCCTGAAGGTTGTCTCTGCAATTGATCAGAGAAGAAAAGTTACGTTTGCAGGTTTCCTACAACATAGTCTATTGGCTAATTAATTTTATTAATTTATTTAGGTTATCAGTCTTGAACACAGATTTTAGTATTTATCTGGCCTTGTTAAATTCAAACATACTTTCATTTAATATAGTTAATTATGGCAAGAGTCTTACTTAAGCAACATCAAGAGTACTGGTGTAAAAAGAAAAACAGTTCCTTGATCTGTTGAGTGTTTTTTCAGAGTATGCAGGTACTCACCAGAGTGGGGAGGGTGAGGGAGAGCGGGAAAGAAAGCATCCCCCAATGGGTCATGGTAATGGCACAATCCCTTATTTTCCATTTCTCCATCTTGTTGGGATTTGGGACATACACACACACATGCCCAGTGAGTTTTACAAGTCACCAGATTGGGATTCAAACCATGATCATCTATGTGGGATCTGGTTCCCTTAACTACTAGGCCACTTGGCTGGTCCAAGTATTTTTTTCTTATAAAAGATTTTTTATTTCATTTTCTGCTTCTTAATAGTCTCTTGTTAATTTTTCAAATTAAAGAGCAAGCATATATAAGAGATTTATTAGATAACTAAATCAGTATTTATTAATTTAAGTATATTAATTTAAATAATATCTCCTAAATTAGTAAGCTGTATCCTCCTTCTTGGTCTATATAAGGAATCTTCAATATGTTAACAGAAAACATGTATTATTAAAAAAAAACCTATCGCTTATTTTTTCCACCAAAGTAAACTTGTACTTTAATTCCATTTTTCCATAAACCTCCAGGGGGTGCACATGCTCACCAGAGAGAGAGAGAGAACTCAATAGGTTCATGCTACAATCCATTTTCCTCAATTTCTCCATCCCATCAGGATCTGGGCCATACATGCCTGGTGTGTTTTTCAAGCTGCCAGTGGACCATGTGAGATCCAGTTTTCTAAGCAAGCACTTAACTGTTGTACTCCAGAGCTGGCCCTCCATAAACTTCTTGAAGTCCCCTTGTATCTAATCTACAGGATTCCCAAGGTTGTGACAATTTCTGATTTTTGTCCGCTTCTTTTCTTCTGCTCTCAAATTGTTGTCTTTGGAGTGAACTCAAGTAACAAATATTTCTTTAAATGGAAATGAAATAAGTGTTGACACACTTCTTTATTTTTTATATTGATCTGTAGGATAAATGTACAGAACAGATCTCAAACTCATTTTTAAAAGTAACAGAAGGAAGTAGAAATACAGGCACAATACTAATGACTGGTATTAAGGGTCCACGTCAAATTAGCTTCTTTAAGTTCCTAGCAAACAGGTGTTCACATCATTAAAACAACTGACTAACCCTACTATCTTGGCTGCAGACAAACTCAATAGATACATCAAGGACTGAGTGAATATGGAAACCAAATGCTCAGCTCCAGGAATAATGATGAAGTATTAATAACTATCTGAGATAATGCTGCAGTTGCTTGCGCCTTCCCTATTTGGCCATGTGCACACATAACTTGTGGGTACATAGGCTCTATGCCAGGGAAAAAGGAGGAAAAGCAATGTAGTTTAGTGTCAAGCACACTGGGCTGAACTAATCAGGACACCCGGTCTTATTGCTGCTTTACCATTCACTTATTTTGTGAACCTGGGCAGGCCATTTCATCTTTCTCTAGTTCAACATCTTCTTATATAAAAACAGAACCGATAAGATCTGTTCTTCTTAACTCACAGGATTTGGGGGAGAATGAATGCCTTACAAAGTTCACAAGGATTTGTAATGATTTTTAGAAAAAATTGGCTTGAGATGTTTGTTCTTTTTGGTCCTCCAACTCCTTTCATTCACTGGTGGGGGGGGGGCTTGTGACTCATATTAATCCTTCTCAGAAAGGGCCCAACTGCTAGTGGGAGGTAATAATACTTCCTTTTCCCTTTCTTTCATCTCTGAGAATGCCAGTACACCAACGATCGATCTTGAGCATCTGCGTATGACACAGAATGTCAGCGCTGGAGGAACCTTAAAGGTCCTCTGGTCCTATCCTGCTCCTGATGTCTGAGAAAACATTTAAGTGCCTATTGCATGTGGTGTCCCTACTCAGGTAATCCTCTGCCCTCGTCTCATACACCCACTTGTTTGCTAGAAGTAGAAATGAATATAGTTTAGGCTTTGTCTCCTTGCCTTCGGTCACTAAATCCTACTGGGTTTTCTGCCAAATATCCTTCTCTGGTCCTCTACTACCATCCTTACTTTGGCCCACATCTCTTCACATGTAATCTACTGTGGAAGTTTCATGGTTCTTCTTTCCTTGCCTCTGGCTTCTTCCCACCCAATGCACTTTACAAAGTGTCATCAACACGCAAACACGAATTGGATGTAGATACTGTTGGAAACACCTATGCATTTAAGGCAAGATCTTGCTCTCAAGGAGTTTATAAATTAACATATAGGCTCAAAATCTCATGGGTTACTATTGAAATCATATCATTTTACTACCTTATGTGTTAACAACCTTTGTCTAAATATGGATTTTCTATGTAGCCAATTTCAAAATCCTGGATGGTAAAGCCCCTGTTTATGTACATCTTTGAAGCCCCCTCAACATGCAGTACCAGGATGCTCCATAAAGATAGTCAATACATATTTGTTTAGGAATTAATTGATTACGTAGGTCCCAGAAACAATGTCTCTGAATCGATGCCAAGGTACAATAGATCCATAGTTCTGTAAAATGTCCAAATACTACTATTTATAAGGTGACTAAAGAGCAGAAGTTATTAACTTATCTGGATCATTTTCCAGATGGAACTCAACAGGAATTCTACTTGTTGAAAGCCAGTGGAAATGTTTTGGTTTTCTTCCTCCTACCCACACACTTAAAAAGTAAACACATGCATTTCTTTCTTCCAGTCACAAACAAGAGCAGAATCATTAGTTCCATTTTATGTTTTCAATGGGTACTGGCATCCTCACCATCATTCATCACTGTTTAAAAATGAGCATGATGTCCTTTAGTATATATTTAAATGAAAAAGAATTATATAAAAGCAAGTAGAACCATTTTTCTCCTCCAAAATATGCAAAATTTAATCCAAACCTTAAAATGAGGTATCATTAAGCAGGCAAATGAGTTATCCAATAATCCCAAATATGTTTAATAGGGATGTCAAGTTCCTTATGAATCCCTTATGGGTCCTACATCAGGCTAGGATTTGCAACAACATATTTATTCTGAGTTTGGTCCCATTCAGAGAATGATTTGACTTTAACTGACTCAAATACCCAAGAGAGGCAACTCCTTTTCCCATTCTCCTACCAAGGAGATTGACAGGTACTCCCTAAGAGTAGTTTATTCACTCCCCCCGCCCCCATTCCTAATTTGGGTCTTTGTGTTGGACAGTAAAGTAAATTAGGAATTCACACAACCAATACTCCCCAGCTCTTTGTTGTTCCACACACTGGCAACCTTCTGAATATGTTATGCCTGCACCCACACAGGCTTATTAAAAGTATTGTATCTAGGCACCAGCAGTTGACATAATGGCTATGTTGCTGGACTCCTGTGTAGTCGACAACGGTTCAAGACCTGGACCTGGTGGCTTAAACTCACCCAGGCGTGTGTGCGTGCATGCCCAAGATCCTGAGAGGAGAATGGAGGAGAAGGGATTGTGGCATGGCCATCCCCCCAGGGGTGACTTCTCGCTTTCTGTCTGTCTCTCTTTCTCTTTCTGGCAAGCACATGTGCCCTATAGCAAAAAACTCTCAAAAAAAAATTGTATTTAGTTGGGGATGTTGGGAGTGGGGGTGGGGAAGAAGGCAATACAATGACAAGAAAGAGATTGAATCTTTGAAAAATAGTACATTTTAGTGCAACGGAGAGAAGACAGGCAGAAAATCAAATCGGCAATGTCAGCTTGATTGTACTGGGGCGAAATGATGCTCAAAGTCAGTAGGGCAGATTGGGAGTCAGTTTTGAGAGGGATATGTACTGCAGGCTGGGTCAGGGAGAACTGTTGGGGAGGGCTAGACAGTAGATGAGAGTGACTCAGACAGAAGTCTGGGCAGGGGAGGAGCCATACCTGGAGCTGGGGGGAAAGCCCATGTTGTGGCAACACAACAGTTAGGGCTATTCAACTCACTGTTGGATTCTGTACAATTTTTGGAAATACTGCGCTGGAGAATTGGGTGCGGCTTTCTTTAATCTATGTAAAAATCAATATCAATAAGAAACGAGTAGATCTTCGAGACCTGCTAACTTCAATGATGTGGGTTGTTTCCAGCACAACCTAATAGTACTTTGCTTGGTGGTAGTGGTGGGAGGTGTTCCTCAGCGGGGAAGCCCTGTGACGCACTGGATTCATTTTGCAGAGCTAACAAGTTATCAGCTAGTTCCATGCTATGAGTCCAAATGCCACAGCTGTCATGCCACTGAAACGCTATTCCCACACCCATGCTCACATTTGTATACTATGTGCAACTCGAAAGATCCATTGTGGAATTTCTAGTCTAACCTTTCACTCCTCACAGCGACAGCTTAGGGGCTCAGGGC